GAAGGTGGAAGATGTTTGGGGTATTTTGTGGGTATAATCTTTGGGCAAAAACTTCTTTATTAAGAGTTTTTGCATCTTTCCCCAAGTTCTCACCTTAGCTTTTCCTTGAAGCTTCCGTTTAGCAGCAATGCTAGCCCACCAAGTGGAGGCATGTCTTTGAAACTTTGCCACCACTAACTTGACCTTCTTGTCTTCGGGTACGTCTTTGAGTGTAAAGACTTTTTCAACCTTTTCTAACCATTTTAAGAACTTTTCCAAATCAGTTCTTCCTTCAAACATAGGAATATCCACTGAATTAGTGAGCTCCTTGATCTGTTTCATCATAAGCTCAACTTCCATCTTTAGTTTCTTCTGGGCAACAACTAATTCACCTTGAAACATGTTTTGAGAAGAGCTTGACATGGTGGATATATGGCTTGAATAGTGTACGGTTGACAGTAACAAAAGAGATGAGGAGGCGTGTAAAGATGATCCCTTAGGGATGTTCAACACAAAGCTTTGATACCAAATGTTAGGGGTAAACCGGGGGTCTTATCAAGTTGATAATTTAGTGGCGGATATGCGGAGGAAAATGGAAGGGAAATAGTGGGCGAAAGTATTGAGGGTGTTTTAGGAGTTCTTTTTTGGTATTTTATGGAAGAAAAAGAATAGGATTAAGAAGGAGAAATGGGGGGATATGAAATGGAAGAAAATCAGGGATGGATAAACCAAGTTGGTGTTTAAGAGATATTACACACTCTTATCCTAACTTGGGGTTTGAATCTAGAATTTAATTAAGATATGACACACTTAATTAAATATCTAGAACCTAAAACTCACACTTAAGATAACCACTCTTAAGATATAGAATTAGGAATTTGGCTAAAATAGCATCACACTATTTTAATAANTGGGTTGTACTAGGGAACATAGTAGGGACCATGTTGGGTGGATGTTGGAAGATGAATGGGGCTGTTTTGGTTTCCTATTGTGACCAGGGATTAAAATAGATAGAAGAGACTTTATTTGGATATCAAAAGGAAATAAAATACTTTTGGATGTTTGGGGTTGGGTTGGACGGAAAAGGGGGTTGACCAGCGGAACCCTTAGGTCAAAAACGAAAGTTATTTTGGCCTTTCGGCCTAAAGGACATTGAATTCTCACTAAAATGGATCATAATGTTTGAACCTAAGTCCTTTGGTTTCCATGAGGGTGTGGGATATGGGGGAGGGTATGATAGGCTCGGGCCCAGATATATCATCCTCCCAGTCTTCAAAAGAGTTTGCCCTCAAACTCAACGGATAATCAAGACCGTCATATGGACTGAGGTCCCCTTTTTTGAATGGGGCAGCAACTCTTTGACCTCTTGTAAGGTCGACCATGTAGGAATTGTTGTTGACTTGGGCTAGCACCTTGAATGGGCCATCGTCTCGGAATTGCCGCCTTGACTTGCGTTTCTCAGAAAAACGCTCTCTTTGAATATGGACCCACACTAGGTCGCCGGGTTGAAAGTGGGTGGGACTTTTCAACTCACTTCTCTTCTCAAGCCTTTCACGAGTCTTATAATAAAACTCGGATGTTTCTTGTATTTCTTCCTTACTTGGAACCTGCAAAAACTTAACAAACTCGGTACTAGGTACCGTTAGTAAAGATAACCCTCGGGGCAAGGCTCCTACGTTTCGGCTCATGACTCCACTTTGGGTCCTCTCATAACACTTTTGGGGAGTTAAATGAGTAAGAGAGTGGGCCAGACTACTCAATGGCCTATGACCGACCACGAGTTCATCTTCACATTGGCCTTGTGCTTTCACATCTTCTTGTGCTTCCTTAAGTCCCAAAGATTCTGATTTTTCTTCTTCTTCAACCAAGGACTTAAGATTCTTATTTGGACATTGAATAGCATAATGACCAATATGATGGAAGCAATGGGAATTCTTGGGAATAGATGGGCAGATTTTTGATGGGGGTATGTCCATGGCTTTTGGTGGAAGGCCTATGGTTTTAACAGGGTTCTGAACTGTGGGGATGGGAGAGGCTTTGAGGGTGCTTTGGACAGTGTTTTGGGAGGGTAAAGGGATGGTTTCAGTTGGTTTTTCAAGTGGGGGTGTAGGGGTAGGTGTGAGAATGGCCGTTTGAGGGGGAATTATAGGCATGGTTGTAGGCAAGTTTGGAGGCAGGGGTATGAAGAGGGTTTTGGGGCTTGTTTGGACAGTGGCCAGGGATGAAATATAAATGGGTTTTGAGGTATTTTGGGGCAGGGTTGTGGTAAGGGGTGTTGGGTTAGTTTGGGCAGTGGCTAAGGAAGGTAAAGAGGTTGTTTGAGTAGGAATTTTGGGTAGGTGTGAGGGAGTTGGGTGAGAGATGTTTTGGACAGCATGGA